AACGCAACCACACTACTGTACAGATCAGGAAGCGATGGAGGAGTTGAATCTGTTCAACCTTCCATGCCGTGTACAGGGACACAAGCGTAAAAATGGCTGCATTTCGAATGTGAACTGGCGATGGCATTGTGTGGCGACGAACACAACTGCATCTGCTCAGATTTCAGCTTCTCGAACATTATGCTCCCCATGATAACTCACCGAATGGCTCACATGACGGAGTTGGACATTACCAGGCTTGGATTATCATTTGCTGTATTTATGGATAGTCCTTGAGTTTTCAGATGAAGTGCATTATCTTTTACCTGTCGTTCCTTTAGAATGGCACAATGTCCATGGCTGCTTTCTTGTCTTCATAACAAACTGGTATAATCAGCATGATTCTGCTTTATTTGAGAAGAAATAGAACTTCCTTTCGGAAAGGAAGCCCAGAAACGTCAACCCCCATGGACTGTGCTTTATGACTCTCGCCCATCGACGTTAACCGTCGCAATAGCTGCTGCATGTATGTTGTGCTGTGCGAACTGTACAAGATTTTACAGCTCACCCACGCCTTCCCGCCACGCCTTCCCAACAGGCTCCTATATCCCGTACCGTTAGCGTTACATTGAATATGAACTAGGCTAGCACAGTTATCCTTCGTTCTTGTGATGGCGGCGGGTAGCATGGAGCTTGAGGTGTTCTTGGGATCCTCGTGCAACACTTGCTGTTCCCGGATGCCATATTATTGGGTGCATCGAGGTTGCTTCTATGCTCACTGTTGTTTGGTAAGACAATTTTTTTATAACTATTTGTCCGAAGAATAAGGCGAGAGTATTTTGGGTTGGTTTGGACGCCTGGCTTCTCTTCACATAATATACAGTCATGTACTTCCACTAACCCTACAAGTGCACATGACTCTTGAGCTGCTGAAGACAGTGACGGTACTGATCATGTACATGTACATGCCGTGCACCGTTCATTCATGCTGACAAAAAAAGTACACTACAGTAAGATCGGGCGCCGAAGAACGCAGGGGCTCGAGCGCAGCCTAGGAAAGTTCTTAAATTTTTGATTCTAGCCAGACCGTTCTTATTCACACGCGCGCGGCGAGTCGAGTGACGTCATGACGTTTGTCATGTACATGTACATGTACATGATGTAGTGCAATGTAGTACTTCTAAACTACCGTATTATCTCTAATATAAGCACAGTCTCCAATAATAGCACGTCTCCAATAATAGAACACCTTGCGGCGGCATTCAAAAAATAAAGTGCTCAGTCTCCATTATAAGCACACTGTGTAAATTCATTATCTGTACCGGCGAAAAAAACCCTGAAATGTGTGCGTCATACATGAATTTGGCATGGCAACATGCCTCTGAAATGAGGTTGAAATAATAATGGAACAGTCTCCAATAAAGGAACGTCTCCATTAATAGCACGGGGCGGAGGTACATTGAAAAAATAAAGGACCGTGCTTATATTAGAGATAATACGGTAGTGGGTGTCGTAAATGGGAATGACTGTACATGTAGCAGTTACTGTTTACACGTGTACATGACATGTACTCACCTCCCATACATGTACAATGTAGATCTACGTACAATGTAGATCTAGTGTTCTTAAATCTGATAATTCTAGCCTGGACTGTTCTTAAATTTTGCCGGTTTTCCAGCCTGGGTGTTCTTCGGCGAGGTGTTCTTCAGCGCCCGATCTTACTGTACACTACAGACGGTGTAGGGTGCCCGCAGTGTAGCCTGGGTGCACAGGGTGCACTTGCCCCGTCTCACTCGCGGCTGGGATCTTTGTGCAAGTCATCTATTAGAGAGGGGGCGGATCAACTGTACTGTTCCGTAATACACTCGGACGTCTCTTATCCGGGTACCTTGGGACCGGGCACTGCCCGCATCTCAGATTTGCCGGTATCTCAGGATAACTCATTTACCATGTATCATATCATTTTTTGAAGAAGTTTATTTGGCACGTATTGCACATGTTCAGGTTGCAGAAAAAATCCATTGATAAAAGTGTGTGGATTTCATAGGTTGGCAGTGACAAATAAGCACCTGCGTATACAAAAAAAACTTCAAACTCTGCAAATTCAAATCATTTTTGCCATAGGAAATCAAGCTGAAGGTGCCCGGTAGAGAGACGTGCCCGTATCTGAGGCGTCTGGGTAAGAGCCGCTGTAGTGTAATAATGATAATTATTGTTTCAGAGCAACAGTGCTATGCAAGTGTGCATGACGACCAACCTGCTCTAAACGGCGATCTGGGACCGGTGGGACCCATCCCTGGATTTCACTTTATAAGTGACCTAGCTGACATCATTCTCACGTACACAGATATATCAGTATTAGCCAGTATTAGCCAGGGAAGGTGACAGGGCAAGCAGGAAGTTAAGGGAAGCTGTGGAGATAAGGAACTTGGGACCACAGATTAACACCAACCCTGGCTAGGGACTTCTGTGAGTATGACAGTTCGCTCAGTGTTACTCAACATCGCACCTTGCTGCGCTTTCGTTCACGTTCAAGCTGTCTTACCTTCCAACAACAAGCCCCCTGAAGCCCATCCTCCCACCTCCAGCCAATCCCCGCCCAGTGGGTGGTCGATCCACTAGGTTAGCCACGGAGACTGCCCAC